CTGTTGACGTCGTGGTGTTGCGAATTAAACTCAACAACTTTGCGGAGTCTAATAGCCCACAGTAGAACCCCGTAAATTACTTGTTAGTAATTCAGCGGCAATCCCCACTTTGAGAGCACAGAAGGGCCTCGTCTCCATATTATTCTAACTTAAAATATAGCCCTTCATTCTTCCTTACTGAAACTTTGATTAAACTATATACTCACACATATACGAAACTCACCCCTCACAAATATATGGCACAACAAAAATGATAAAACTGAAGGAATCGTTACATTGATAACGAGATAACATTGGTACTAACTAAACTCTGCGTACTTCTTTATACAGTGATATAATGGACTTAATCCGTTACAAATGAAAATAATATTTAACATATCCGCATTTAAACAATCGAGCTTGATAAATGTGCCAATTGTTGATATAAAGGAGTATTGAAAATTTCCATAGCCCAAACGATTTATCATTGGATTATAAATCTAAAAACACTAAAACAGCACAGAATAGACTCCTTATTAAGACATCAAGGATCACTTAAAAGTCACAGATCTCATATAAATGTAATCTCTAATATTATTTTATTTTCTATTTTTTAATACGACAACGTTAATGAAAGCCGGTAAAGAATTAGGACTCGAAATAAACGTGGATAAAACAAAATATATGGTTAGCTGCAAAAATGGCGATACTACTGGTGATATCGATATAGATGGTAATATGTTTGAACAGGTAGATAAATTTAGGTATCTAGGTTCTACGATAACTAGAAAAAACGAAATTGAAGAAGAGATTAAGGTTATACTGAAGGCGGGGAATGCTTGTTATTTTTCTGTGACAAAACTACTTAGTTCGCGCCTCTTGTCCCGAAACTTAAAAATTAGAATCTATAAAACAATTATCTTGCCTACAGTTCTTTATGGATGCGAAACTTGGCCGCTTACATTAAGGGATGAGCAGCGTCTTAAGGTTTTTGAAAATAAAGTATTGCGTAGAATATTCGGTCCGAAGAAGGATGAGTTAACCGGAGAGTTCAGACGGTTACACAACGCCGAATTGCGTGAGCTGTATCCGGGTAATATAATTGAGATAATTTCATCGCGGCGAATCAAATGGGCTTGTAAAGTTGTTGGGCTTAGTAACGAGAGGATTCCTAAAAGGTTAATATTTGCTGTGCCGAATGGTAAGCGTCCGAGGGGTAGACCGAAGCGAAGGTGGGAAGATTTCATTAAAGCTGATCTGAAGGGACTGGGTTTGGACGGCGAATGGTGGAGGGAGGTGTGTAACAAGCGATTGGTGGTGTCGGCATCGAACCTTCGGGTTCGCTAAGCCTTATTATTATTATTATTATTATTATTATTATTTCTATTTTTTATCCATTGGTATTTACAACTGTATTATAAAAAAATACAACTAGTAAATGTGCACACAGTAATAATACAATCACATGAAAACTCTTGTTGAGAAACTACCCATTGGTAGCTAATAATATATTTACATAAGTAGATCACAAGACCATCTTCTTTTGAGACGCCTCGGAGGGTTATCAGGGATCGAGGAGGAAGCCATGTTTGAAACGAGAGGGGTTTGTTATGGAAGGATAGTTATCTGGATTGGGCCAAATCGGAAATATATGGAACATTAAGGTCTTTATGGATGATTTTATTTGTGACAAAGTAAGGAACGTTGAGGATTCTAATATTATAAAATAAGAATATAAACTATACAAATACTTCTCCTTTTTCCGAATATAGGTGAAAATGCGAAAACAAGGAACATACAAGCATTAGAAAATAGATCATTGCACGATTTGATGTGTGGAAGGACCACTTGACTGTCCTAAGTTTGTAGTTGGAAATGTTACATCCACACACATATTATTGCAATTAATTTTTCATATACAAATATTTGTTAGGCAAAGTTGACATATCTCCAAGAATTTGCAACCCAAGACTCCACAATACCAACTTACAATAATAAATGAAAACATTGATCAAAATAATACAATGATGACATTTTTGGTCATAATTTTTAATGACAATGTGACATAATTTAAACTTTTAAAGAACTGTTTAGTGAGTGGAAGAACTGTCTTAAGAACATCAAGAAAAGGATCGCCATAGATTTCAAGATGTGTTCCTGGCGCTTTCTTATGTAAATGAACCCGAGGACCCCCCTAGTTCCTGGGATCGAGACAATCAAATAAAAGGAGAGAGGAGGAGAGAGTGTTAAGATGGTTCAGTAACGATTATGTCAAAGCGATAATGTGCTGAGTAACTGGCCGGAACAGGGAGCCAAACATTTGCATCCAGCTAACAGGATCAATGCAGCACCATTAGCGAGAGATGAAGAGATGATGGACGAGCCGTGTCGAGGAGGGTGTTGTACCAGCATCTATCATACCACCAGCCCAACTTAACGCTTTTTATTGCATCTTTACGCTTTAGCTAGGGTAGCTAACTGCGTCATCGCCAGCATGCTTTAGCCCTTCGGATTTTTTTTTTTTTTTTAATGTTACCCTTAGAGTTAGGCAGTTGAAACCTAATCATCTGAAAATAAGTTTACATCATTTCATACTGTATATATTCCATAATTCAATAATATTACCATAGTGTACCTAAGAACAACTGCTACGTAAGGGTTCAACGAAGTGCTTCTTATACAACTGTTACTATTATTTCTTTTTTTTTTTTTTATAAGTATCAAAATTAATATTTAATACAATAAAAGTTGGACGTCTAAGAAAGTCAGGGCATATTGCACGCATTAATAGTAATGAAGTATCCAAACTTCTCCTAGAAGAAAAATATTTGGATGTAGAAGAGTTGGAAGATCTCACATGCGTAGGGCGGATTGCTGGGTGTAAGAAATTGGAAAGCAACAGCACAGAACAGAGAAGACTGGCGGCTCTGACTGGTGGAAGCCTTGACTCCCCAATGAATTGTGGAACTATAGAAGAAGAAGAAGGAAGTTTATATTTAAAACAGCAGAAAATGCGCTTTTATGAATGCAGTTGTTTGATTTGTTTAAAATAAATTATCTCATCACCTTATAAGACAAAAAAAAAATCAAAAAATTAAATAATTTCTTTTGATTCATCGTTCGATATTTTTTAATAAGCTTATTAATTTATCGAGTTAACAATTTAAATGAATCATTATGATATCGTGCATTAAAAAAATTGTTTTTAGAATAAAATTTGTGTATATTATTATCAACAAATTTGTATTATGCATTCCTGCTTTATTCTCATTATTAATCACCAAATGAAAATTAAACTCCTTAAAATATTAATATTACATTAAAGTCTTGGAGAGTATCCGAAACAAAATCCAAACATGTCCTGAGCTGGAGGTCACCAGAAAGAAAATTTGGCCAAACCCCACTGACTTGGCGATAAAGCTCAACGGTGGTGAGGGGGATCTCAGAAAGACCGTCGAGTTTATAATCTTAATCCCGTACTTCACCATTTGAGGGAAGTTCGAAGGAGAAGAAGTGGTTTAATTCGTCATATATGTTAAATTTTCACAAAAATGAACCACTTTCAAGCTTTTATCGAAACTAGTAAAAATTCTATATGAGGCAGAAAATCTATTTTATCTAACTACGCTGCCATGTATTTCTAAAATACATGTAAACAATAAAAAAATGCGTCAACGTTTTGCCAATCCAAGCATAATTAAGACAGAAAAAACAACAAACCCAATATCACATCACTACATGACACTCAATCGCATACTGGATGTATTGTAATACACTTAAGGAAGGTTATAATAAAACAGATGATAAGAAAAAAAAAAAATGAAAAACGTGTAACTACTCGTATATGTCACAAAAAAATACGATTAATAATAACACATGAAATAATAATAAGTACTAAAGAAGGAATGAAAGTACACATAAAAGGAAAGTTGTCATCGAAAAATAGCAAATAAAGTACTATATTTATTAGACTTATCCAAAATGATCACTGAGTGTGAATGAAAATTATTGCAGTCCTATAATTAATAGCATTATTTAAGTTCTGAACAATATGCTTAGCTTAAAACGTTTTTCTTAAAGTGATATTCTCTTTCTATAATACTTGAACATTATGAAAATCAAATTAATATTTAAAAACATTAGTGTGCTGTGCTATTTATGAGTTAGGCTCCTTTCTTTTAATATTCCTGTTACCAATTTTATATATATATATATATATATATATATATATATATATATATAGGTGAGTAGAATTTCAGAGAATTCTTTTAGGGTTACTACTTTGGCAGATCAATTCTCGAGGAGTTGGGTTTGTTGTTTTAATATTCATTGCAAAAAGTATATACATAGTCTTAGCACTTTTATTTCATGGAGATCATGCAGAGTGATATTCTCATGCCCTATTTCGTACATTTCCAGTTTTATGAGAAAATATTTGTAGTCTGTATGTCAAATAGTTTTTTTCTCCTTATTTACACAAAATGAAGGCGTAAATGTAAATAAAAAAAATCAATATGTACTTCATATTTTTTCTTAATAACGTATTTGTAAGTACCGATATGGTCTCCCGTCTACTGGACAGTTATTCTAAAGGATATTTTTTTTTTTAACTCCCCCTCACCCAGTATAATATTGTTTGTTAACACAGCAGCCACTAAACTGTTCAGTGTATACTAATTCACACTCTGCCATATGCTGGGCGGCCATCCAACATCCAACGCTGGCATGAGAGCGACATCCGGGCGGACCCAGGGGAGCACACTTGCAGGCCGCAATTACTTAGTGCGTCCCGAGTGGCCTTCTTCCTGGGAACTACTTTCCGTTCTGATATCCACTACAAGGGTTCTTCGTGGGAATGAGGGAGGATTAATAGTTTGAAATAATTTATTGCGATGGACCATGTAGGGAGAATGGGGATTTGATTTAATGATCCGTTTTTATCTAGTCAGTTATGTAGAGATAGAGGATGGAACTGTCATATTCTCGTCGGTTCTAACTAATGCCAATCGATTTGCCATTGTTTAGTTTCCCGAAACTTGACTTGCCTGTAACTCCACCCAACTCTGATTTCGACAGCCGCTGAGAAGAGGAGAGGGTGCAAAATCACCTGCACCCTCCAGCTCCCCCTCGAACCCTCGGCGAACACATGTACAACCGCCACCCCTCCCCCCCGGCCGCTGGGGTATGTTTACAATTATATAAATTAACAGGCAGCCGGGAACAGTGTCATTAGGGTCGGCACACCCTCCCCAGCCCGGAGCTGCTCCATTATTGATGCTGGCAAACAACCAGTCACGCCGATTACAGTTTTCTGCACCGCTTAAACGCTTCCTGGTGTAATGTCCCGGCTGATATTTTATTAAAGCCCTATTCGATACGTCCCTGCTGCCTGGAGAGCGCGGGTCCTCAATATTAATCTTAGCGAGTTAGTTCCATAGCGGTAGTTCTACTGGAAGCAGGAGCGTCATGAAATATGCATGGTCATACTACATCTAAGAAGATTTATTTTATTGTTAATAGTTTAACTCAAACTGCCTACTTTGCTGATTCGTTCAGCTTCGATGCTATTTTTGCATTGTCGAGATATACATATAATATTTCTAAACACTATGACAATTTATTCATACACAACAGTACTTAATAGAGATTAGTTTAATAAACAATAAGATGCAGTAGAAAGTGGGCAAAACTAAAGGTATTCTTTTGGATTCCTCTTACATTACTTTCCTTAATGTTCCATAACATTAAAATAGTTCTCTTTCGAATAATATCTTGTTTAGAAGTAATCATTTTTCCCAAATGTACCAAAAATCCACAACTATCAATCTTTCAAAGATTTCATAAATTTTTACTTCCAAAAATCTGACTGTCCATTGCCTCTTGTCCACTTGTCCACTTTGATTTCGGTAGTATTGCTTATGAGGAAGTTATTGGCAAACTTGAGTTACTGTATTCTGTAATGAGTTTCATATTCAGGGTCTCCAGACACGCCCACATTTTTGCTTACTCCATTTAAAGTGCCCTTCTGTCGGAACAACACTCGTAGTTGTTATTTATTCCAATAATTTAAAAAAAACTATTCTTCTTCCAGAATTGAAATAATTATACTCTGCGTTTCTTCATTCACTCCTGGAAAATCAGAAGCCTAACAACCGATCATAATATTCTTTCAAATATAACTCAATCCAATCTTATTCGTTTCTAATTTTTTTTAAAAACTTATTTATTGAAAAATATTACAATCTATCTCATAAGGACATTTATAATAGTGTTCAGAGATCACATTCACACTCCATGTACAATAAATCATACAGAAAAATAATATATATACAATAAATAAGAATAAAATAACCTAAAAATAAATAAGAATAAAATAACCTAAAAATAAATAAATAGAAGAGAACACCGATGCAGACTTGTCCCTTCAACTGTGGAGGAAAAAGCATGATTCCAGGATATCCCTGCACTTCTCTCTCAACCGCGTCACTGGGGCTAAACCCAATGGAGATTGAGCAAGTCCCCTAGCCACAAACACTCATGTCGTGAGTGGAGAATCTGGCAATTGCCAGAACTCCAATATTCTAATTTTTTAACATTTTAAGTATATCTATTCACAACGCCTTTTCTAAAGATTCATCAAACACCATCTTAAGTAGAGAGATAAAAATATACTAAGCCCATACGTGAGAGAAATGAATGTTTTGCTGGTTCCTCTTTGGAGGAAACCAAAAGTCCACACGATCAATCATCTCCATTGTTCTTGCAATCAACTTAGTAAGTATGATGAACATTTTTCTCTCTGGCGGAATAAATGTTGTGATTCAGTGGATTCAGATTTGAATGAAGTGGTTTAATTATTCTTATGCATATCAAACTTCATTTCTACTATCTTATGCAACATATGCAATGCATATTTAGGATATTTGATTGTTTAACCATTAATTCAACTTGAAGGTATACAATAATCATTATTAACGATGGTGTCCAATTGCCTTGTTTTTTTTTTGGGGGGGGGGGAACTTTCGACCAAGAAGAAATGATTATCGTTCAATATACGAGAACTGACAAGAAATATTAGACAATATACGTCCAAGAAAGATCAAGAGTATACAGAGAGATAGACTCCTCCGGGGATCCCCAAAGCTCTTTCACAATGGCCTGGCCCACACACTGATAAGGCGAAGACACCGATGAGGCGCCTCTACCACTCGAACCGGCTGAGGACTCTTCACAACAGGTAGGACCCAACAAAAAACACCCCTCCCCCCCCCCTTCCTTTCTTATGTTAACTAGCAACATTTATGACTCGGCAGAATTCCTCCACTAACTGTAACAGATGAGCCAGTGTTGTTCTAGTACCTGCAACAGGCCTTAACTACCTACTAATTCGGTCAATATACTTCCCGGCTACCGTCTGTCATCGCAGTTTATTTTACTCCCTCTGGGCTGTCGGTTCTTTGCTACCTAGGCCTCGTTATCGGCTATGTTGCTTCAGGAAATATTTATCTTCCTTCAACTACTGGGAAAACATTAGTTTACAACATTGGATATCGTTAACATGGCAAAATGTATGATTAATCGAAGTTTAGTACTAACAAATAAAGAACACAACCAAGTTTGTTTCGTGGGTATAAGACAGGGGAAAAAATCCTAAAGGACCTTTTTCAATACAAAATTTTAAAATATTTATAAATATATACATAGATCACAAGATTACATCATTATCTTTCAGTTCAGGTTGTCTTAGGTTCTCTTTATGGGGCAAGTTTCACCATCCAAATATTTGAAGAGAGCACATTTGTACGTGGTCTTAAATTTTTGGGAGAGAGAAATTTTAACGGAGTTTTGGATTTTTGGAGGGTATGATATTTTGTGTTTTTAAATTGAAGGAACATCCAAACCAGGAAAGAAGAGAAAAATATGGTAATGTCATCAAGAGTAGTTGTTTATGTTTCATAATATTTCTAATTATAGTTTCGCTTGCACTGTATTTAAAAAGAGAAGAGCAATAAAATTTCTTAAAAAACGGTAAATTACGTCATCGGACTTGGGGGATCGACGACACTCTTTTTTTTTAGTTTTATTGGTAAATAAAAAACGTTAGTTTCAACTTAAGTGGAATGAGTTTTCTTTCCCTTCTTAAGAAACCTTGTTTTAGGCGAACTATGATTACTTAAATAAATAAATTGCATTAATCATTATAATTTTTTAATGAACTCATTACCAATCAGATTGATTTACCTGTAATTTTCGACTCCGATTAATTAATTTATTTTTAATTAAATCTTTTTATTTTTTTTAATGACACATTATTTCCTTTTATACCATTCCTTATTCTAGGAATACATAAATCTTGCCTTGCCGAATCTTTTTTTTTTTCCATTCCATCGTCACACGAATGTGAATAAACAACTAAGGTCTTTAGTTTATACCACACGATTGTGAAATTATCAACAAGGTGAGATTAATAATATGAAATATAAAATTATAAATAATAGCTTATTACAAAGAAGATGAAATGTTGAACATTACCCTCGCTTACAGTATGCATTTCTGATTTATAGTTTCTGAGATATTTTATTCCAAATCTTTCATAAAACTCGTTCTCGTTTGGTGTTCGACAGTATTTTTTCCTTTACGCCTCTTTAACATGGCGCTGGGTTAAGATAAAATTTTGAATGATAGTCGTTTACAGAAAGAATGAAATACTGAACGATTCACTAGCTAACAATATGCAGATCGATTTTTAATTTTTAAAATATTTTAATTCATATGCAAAAACGTTTCAATTAGTCGACTCCAGCCAACTTCATCCGAGCGTTACACGTCGGAGTTCTGGCGGCTCAATCTATTTCATTCTCCACACAAAAAGTGCAAAATGTCATATGTACATAACGTCATAGCTAAATTTTCAAAACCGAAACCATAAATACGAAAAATCGAACAATAAAAGTCATTTGCATAACATTTGATTTCTTTGATTTTTGAGAGCCTAAGAAATTTCCAAACTAATATTTCTGAAAAGTATGGGTTTGCCTTTGGACAAACGAACGTATATTGTATATAACATATTGAAATAATATAACATGTAATAATATTCTCTTTGTCATAAAGTAACAATACGTTTATTCACAGAAACAAAATTAAGAGTGTGTGATGATCTAAATCTAAATAGTTTGTTGATTAAAATTGAGTTAAAATTATTTGTAGCACAATAACTGATTTATAATTTGGATATAAAAGTCACTAACGGTTAATTATTATTATGTCATTTGAAATTAATCAGTTGCTCTCGTTATTTTGAGAGTAGGAATCATATTTCAACAAATTATAGTCTAATTAATTAACGTGAATGACTCCTCCAATCCGGGCTAGGGAAGTGAATATTGCGTGTGTTCAATTACCTATAGAGATGTTTCCCCAACACAACTGTTTCCTTCCCAGGACTCCATCGACGATATGGTCTGTGAGATGGGCCGTAACATCCCCATCCTCCTGCCCCTTCCTCCCGAACTGGAGTGTAAACTGAGAGGCCAGTTTAAGTGATATCCAGCAAATTGGTTAACAGCTTGCTTTGGATAGGGTGACTCCAATCTGTCATCGCCACCGTTCCATGTGGGTGTCTTGAATTGTAGCAACATTCCATCGTTATCACATGCTTGTTTGACCATAAACTGAATACTTGTAGTTACTTTAGACGGATGCATTCCAAGGATTAGAGACTCAGAATGGCTTGTGTATCTAAATGTGTATCAAATCATTAGTTTAGGGCAAGATTCTAAACTCAGCGCTAATTCAATCGATTGAATCCGGCACCGATGGACAGCTATTTATGCTGAGTTTAAAAACGACCAGCTGGATTCTCATAGAAGGTAATAAACTCATGGAAAGGTACAAAACATGTGAATAAAAAAATATGCAGAAAATATTTACTTACTGAATTATTGGATTTCAAAACAGAAATAAATATAATGATGTAGAGATGGTTGACCGTTGATAAAATATGAGAAGGAGTTGATCGGGGGTGCGGTCAAATAAATACTAAATTAAACAAATAGTATTATTTAATTTTTGCCGACGTTTCGACCCACTTTGCAAGTCTTCATCAGGTTAGAGAGGAGGAGTTTAAAACTGAAAAGGTCAATTTTTAAACTTCTCCAACCATCTCTACATCATTATGAATGCATTATCACGGGGTCAAAAACAAGATACAATTCCACAATCCATTCGTCCCAGTTCCAGACTCAATACCAGATCCACAACAACTGTCTTCCGCTCATCAGAACATCTCTGTTCTTCCCACTCGTCGCAGAAGCAGATTTCAAAAACCTTCCGGAACTTTTCATCACGCAGCACCGATATCTAATCACTCTTCTTCATCTTCGTTCAACAATTATTCACATGATGACACATTGACCTCTTTAGTTTTAAACTCCTCCTCTCTACCGTGATGAATACCTGCAAAGTGGGTCGAAACGTCGGCAAAAATTAAATAATACTATTTGTTTAATTTAGTATTTATTTGACCGCACTCCCCGATCAACTCCTTCTCAGAAATAAATATAGATCGAAAGTTAAAAGGATATATGTACGTTAAGTAAATTGAGAAATAATAACACTAATGTTATAATGAAGTTACGTCCAGCGGTCCATCGATTCGAAAAAACATTGAGCGATCGTTGATGCAATCGATAGATAATGAAAAGCATTGAATTCAAGAACGACCTGAACGATTTCCAATGCCCATCAATGAGCTCTCCAACTAATAAGTGATGATTTAAGTCGATAAAAGATAAGAGGAAATTAAAACCTTAAAATAAGTTCTCTTTATCAGGTATTTTTGTTGATTTTTTAAAATTATACAGAATACACTCTGCCATACCCTAAGAGCAGTAGTTATTATTGAAATTTACAACTGTATAAATGATAAATACAACAAGCAAATATGAAGCAAGTAACATGTCATGTTCAACATGAAAAGAAACTACCCATTGGTAGCACTCCAATTATATTTCTTTATTAGAAGGTCCCGAGGCCATCTTCTTTTCAGACGCCTCGGAGGGTTATCAGATCGGAAACAAGGTTGGAAACAAGATGATTCGGATGGTTCAGAAGGTGATTATGGAAGGATAGGTATCTGGATTGAGCTAAATCGGAAACATATGGTACATTAAGGTCGTTATGGACGATTTTATTTGTGACAAAGTAGGGAGAATTGAAGATGGGATACGAGAGGAATTCGATGGTTTAGTAGAGCCCCAAAACTCTATCTCGTATGTCCAAATAGGCCTTATTATAGTAATATATATGAGTCTTTTGTAAATAGTTGGCAGTTTAGAGCGTTTGTCTAGTAAGTGCTGCAGTAGTCGAACACGTTGGGCGGTTTCTTGTTTCAGTCTGGTATGGTGGATAAAATTATACACAAACTCACAAATAAAGGTATTTAGATTGAATTAATGGTATTTTTAAGCTGGTTTTAATAAAATTTAATAGTAATGAGTAATTACTAATTAATGAACCTATTCATACAATTTGAATTAATAAAGAAATTATATAAAAAGTATTCCAGTCAGATTCTTTCAGCATCACACATGACACCAGGGATTTTAATATTTATTTATTTATAACAATAGCGGGCTCTTAAACCTTGCACATTATTTATATTAAATCAGATGAAATTTAACAATAAATTGAAAGTACAAAATATTTAAAACAGTTTAACATTTAAACATAACATGATTAAGCAAAGACAATATATATTTTTTTAAGAGGTAAAGGGTTGGAGAAGAAATTTATAAAGGCTCATTTTAACAAGATGCAATATTTAACGTTAAAATGATATAACCAACCGCAGAGGACCGAGGGACCATAGATGGGGAGAACACTACAAATAGCGGACTCATATTTCACGTTATTAGATTATAAAGATATTAGGGAGGTGGGGTGGCCAGTAGGCGGAGCATCTATTTCAATTGCAGGGTTTGGATTTTCCAGACGATAAGTTGGCAGTTAATATTCATATCCTAGTCCTCGACTAATTCCAGTTTAGTGTCGGGTCCTAAGTGAGCGCATTTATATCTGTCGGTTTCCACACAGCTCCCCTTCCCCTGTCTTTACTGCCTGTGATAAAACAGTGGTTAAACTATCCGACAGTCTCCGGCGCTAGTCTGCCGTAGTGGAAGATATAGATATCCATTGCGGTTCGACAAACGCAAGTTGTATAAATAATAACATTTGGATATATTATAAATAATAATATTCGAATATCTAAAGTATATTTTTCGAATAATAAATTATTCATCAATAAATCGGAATAATATTTATCTCGAAGAAGTAATATAAACATCGATCAAAACGGTAGTTTTTATGTGGGTTCTAAGCTAGTTAGATAGAGTCAAAAGTTCATATCCTTCAAGCACTTGGAGAAAATGGCAAATCGTAGGTGATAAACAAATGTCAAATAAACTTCGATCAGTTAAACCTACAGTTAAGAATCGGTTTAACTAATCGGGACCATCCTTTATACAGTCAAGAAAAGAGGTAGTTATCATAACTCGTCTATAAATAGGACACTGCCGTCTCATCCACGTCTATTTACATAGATTCAGCACCAACATGTCGAGATTGTCAAACAATAGCAACAGTGGGGCTCATAATCGAGAATTGTCATTACAGCAAAAAAATTGCCCATTTGTCTATTTAGACATTCTTGGATCTCTCACCAATGTACTGACTCAGTACTATTGACTAATGATCGAAATTATTACAACATAAAGTTAAAGTTATCTACATTATTAATGAGATGAGACTTTACAGTAAGGTATGAAAAGTAATCCAGTTCACTGAAACGGCTATCATAAAAATAAAACAAAAAACATTTTATTAAATAGCATTATTCTAATATTGTAACGTTTTTGTCTTTTGAATTTGGCCATTTTCATATTAAAAAAAAGTTAACGGTTGGCAACATTAAATATAATTAAATAACTTTTTTAAGAAATTATATTGATTTCTTTGGATAAATACTGATCCAATTTATTAATGATCACTTAGTTATTAAAATATTTTAATGTCACAAATAAATAATAATTAATATAATGAAAGCAATAAATCTGAATTGCAATAATAAAACGTATAGATGATACTACAGTTAACGTATCGGAGGCAGTGAAGACTTCATAAGTAATGCTTTTATTCATAATGTCTGTTACAAATGGCATCTAATACAGAATAACATACTATGGGTATATGGTTTGACTACACGAGTTCACTCCTGGTCTTCTACAGTGAAGAGTGTTACTTCAAGAATGTAACTGCATGAGTGATTAGTCCAGAGGAGCATGGGATTTATATACCCAGGAATAGCAAGGGGGTGAAGGGAAATCGGAAGAGGACGGCAAAGGAAGTTATCGATAGTTAATATTCTTAAGGTGAGGTCTGTGAGAGTGTCCTTTTGCTGAAATCGGTTATTGTTCCTAAGCCTTGATAATGGGTCTTCTGTCCAGTCGATACATTTTAGATAACTATTTCTAAGCTATCAGAGATTTTACCTGGCGTACATGATTCACCAATTGGCGTATTTAAACCAACTTAATCATTAAAATAAAAGTTAAATTAATATTATTATTATTTGTTACGGATTAAGTCCATTCCGTAACTCTACGAATCAATAAGATGCTTTCGAATGGCATGCAGATAACTGGAAAGAAGTAGCTTAAGATATGCAGAGATGAAGTTTGGTTAAAGCAGTAGGACTTACAACGGCATGTAATGACAACTAAAAAAAAAAAAAAACTAGATAAAACTTCAACTATATAAGGATATCAGTTATTGGAGAGTGCTAACTCTAAACTAAATTAATAACTGACGGTACAGATCAAAATCAAAAACTTTCCCATGAAAAAACTTTAAAGTGGTATTCATATTATCTCTAAGCTGATGTCAGATGTGCTTATTCTAGTTTGAACTTATGTGATTTATCCATTTGTTATCCTTTGATGTCTGAATATCATAACAATGTATGTTATCTTCCAATCCTTTTCTCATAGTTCATTACAAATGTTGGTTCAAATGTGCTTAAGTTGGCGTGGCTTTATCTTTCCCAATGATTCAATAAATTAGTAATTAATTTAAAAGCACTACTCGTCTAAACATAAAATAGTAATAAACAAATAAAAAATATCAGCTCTTTCTCCCTCCACAAGAAAGATTATTACATTTATCCATCAAACAATAAGCAAGAACAGAAGAATGGTTGAATGGAGAGCTTCGGCCGAAATACAATATGTTGCCGAGTGTATGAAAGTTGTTGTGGAAAGGCTACATTCTGGGAAATGGGAAAATGGGAAACCCATTATGGGATTACGTGGAGTGTGCCAGGGTTTTCACCGACGAGATCCAATAAAGGTACTTTTCCAATATGTTCGCTCCTCCGCTAAGCTAACGGGTTTTTAGCCCTTTTCCATCCCTTAAAGGGCGCGTTATTCTAATTGGCATCAACGCGGTTTAGGGGGGAGGAGGTGGGACGGTAGAAGGGCCTAATGGGAATAACGTTATTTATAAAGAAAATACAAGGCTATACATTGTCAAAATAAAAGAAGGGAATTTTATTAATCTCCATCCATGAAATTTAATAAAGACTGATATTCCAACCAAGATTATATTGGGACAAAAAAAAAAAAAAAAAAAAATCAACATTACAACATTC